TTTCTTTCAATCAMTATAGAATCCTATAATTATGAAATGCAATTTGCTTTATTTGTAGAATGCAAGAACAACTGGGGAGATGCTAAGTGTGATATCTATAAGGGGAATTGCAACTTTATCACTGTCAAACTTGGCTGCAAGAAAACATGCAATTTCTGCAGGTATACAAATTAAACAACGCGAGAAGGACAGGGGCGGATACAGAATGTTCTTCAGGGAGGGATGCAGGGCACTTTAAAGGGAGGTGCTTAAATCCACAAAAAATGATGAAAAAACAGACATAAAATAAGGGAAAGTATCGAAGGATGCAGGGTCTCAGGAGAGGTGCCCACCTCCTGCACCACCCACCAGCAGGATARCTGGATCCGCCTCTGATAGAAAACACTAAGGGACTGTGCAATATTTATCAGGAGGGAGGGAGCTTAAGAAATGAGCCAAAAAATCAAAAGAGTTAATTAGCTACTCCACCTCACAAACGAAATAAATTACGCTCCCCCTGTTTAGTTTGTACAGTTGCATGGTTTAAGTGAGATCACTCTAGTCATGCTATTTAAGTTTAAGTCAAGAACAATGTCAGCTTAGCTCGATCGATCAGAGTTCACACGAACTAGACTGTCATTTAATATGGCGCGCCGGCCCGATATACATGTATATTTGCCACTCGGTGGACGGGACATTCGATAATATTGCTCTTTATTTTTTCAGGCGTGGTCCAAATGGAAAGTAATTAAAGAGAAAACGTAAAATAAATAACAATAAAGGAATAACTATCTTAAATTCTATTTGTTTGGTGTATACAAATATAATAAGATTCAAATATGTTTAATTTTGTTACTCTTAGGAAGCTTTGAAATAATTCCAGGGTCGGGTTCCGATTAGCGCTAATCCTGGGTTAACTCTTAAAAAACCTATGGAGTTAACCCTAGATTAACACTTATTGCGCATTGAACAATAATTGTACCCCGGACAGGGAGCCCGGCACTAAGAACGGCTGCGAGGAGACTAATTGAACAACGGCCCAGATTGYTAATTAGAAAATGTCGCAAAATGTTTGTGATATTCAATCATACATTAGCTTTAGCATTAAATTCACGACTGGGGATTTGACCTGGACGACACGGGGGTTATACGGTTTATCTTTTTTTCGGTCCGGTATTCTAGTCATTCGCCCGCTGTGCTTGGCTAGCGCGCGGTCCGGTTTTTCACGATCTGCCCAGTCCACGGTATCCTGCAGCTGGGCTGCGAGCTGCATAAAATACAAATAAAAAAAAAAATAGAAATGTTATTTACCGGCTATAGTCGGTCCGCATGTTCCGTATAGGAAAACACTGGCCTCGTTCTTTTTATATACGGACCTCGCTGCACTCGTTCTGTACTGTCAAGACCTCGGGCAGTGTTTTCCTATATGGACCTCCCAGTCGGTAAATAACATATATCACTCTCTCGAAGGGAATCGGGGGGGGAACGACGAGATGGCCTGATAGTCAGGTTACATAAATATTACTCCATTTAGGGCGTGGTTTGATTGCTTATTGCAAAAAATACTAAATAGTCGTCTTGGTGGAAAGTGATTTAAGAAATATAAAAAGATATGAGCAAAGGAAAGATTCGAAAGGTCCAACCGACATAAACATCATCAATCTTGCAAAATTTCTATTCGATTTTTGTGACGAAAGGCCTTATGGGGCCTCTCGTCACTATGTCATCGTGTTCAGTGACCGAACCGTAGCCATCCACTTGTACCAGGCGTTCCTTAAAATCTCTAGAGAAAAACAAACCAAGTAACAACAGCAAAGAAAAGAAGAAAAGAAAGAAGGAAAGAAGAAAAGAAAACAAGAAAAAAAAACGAGAGA